GGTTGGAAAAATACACACCAAACACCAAACATATCCCATACTTCTCGTTCCCACCAACCAGCTGCCGGAAATATTTTGACCACTGAACAGATGGGAGTTATTTCATCGACACGTGTATGTACACGAAGACGTGAGTTATAGGTCGTGTGAGACGCGGCAGGTTAAAAAAAAAAAAAAAAAAAAAAAAAAAAAAAAAAAAAAAAAAACCTTCCTCCTTCCCCCTACTCTCCTCATTTTCTTCTTCTGTTACTTCAAGCCTTGTACTTCTCTCCTCCTCCGTCCCCCCCTCATCTTCCATAGTACATCCCTCCCATCTCTCCATAGTCCCTCCCTCCCTCACCATCTCGCCATCCCTCTCCTCCCTCCCATCACGCCATAGTCCGTCCATCTCACATGCAGCAAACAGCAGGCAACATACATGCAGAGTCCCCACCCCCCAAAACCCCCCCCCCCCCTCACACCCAGACAACCCGTCCCCCTCCCAAACCAGAATTTTATTGCAGATTTGGGTTCCTCTCGCCGAGCACAGGAGGACCCCGCCTTCAAAAAAATAAATAAAAAATTTCTGGGCTGTTTTTCTGCCCGCCCGGTTTGCCTGGGCGGCCCACCCGGCCGGGCTGGCGGCGTCCGTACTCAGAACAAAAAAAAAAAAAAAAAAAAAAAAAGGAACCACGCGAAAATCGAAAAAGTCCGGCGCCAATTTGCAGAGGTCTGGTCAATGCCAAAAGTAGGAAACTGGTGAGAAGATGGCAAAACGAGATAGCGGCCTACTGGGTCCTACGGGTGGCACAGACCCTTAACCCTGCGAAAGCCCTAACCGTACTGTCGGGCCATGTGGGGCCCGTGTGGAACTGAGTATGGCACACTTGCCTTTTACCACGTCTGGCGTTGGCGATAGTAGTTGGTGCTATGTTTGTGCTAGGTTAGCATGAAACCGACTGCATTTTCAACCAGATTCATGCTTTCTAAGCATGGACATGCCTACTTGCTCTCTGCAGCTTCTGGCCTTTATCTACCTCGATGCTGCGATGTTCGACCTCAGCTGTTGCCTGCCCACCTGCTTGCTGTCTGCCGCTTTCCTTCTATCTTCTTTTCCTTGCTTCTATGTTTGTGCAAACATAGCATGAAGCTGCCTGCCTTTTTGGACCAGATTCATGCACATTCTAAGCATGAATGTAGCAGTCCTTAACTCTCTCGAAGCTCTGTGCATGGTTCAGAATTTTATGTCGAAACTCTTAACCTCTGGGCCTCGCTCCACTGCACAACATTTTAGACATGAGAATACTGTGTACTGGTGCAAGGCCCAGAGGATAAGAGTTTCTCCATCCAGATGTATTCAGAATGATGTGCAACAGAGCAAGGCTGTCTGTATGGAATTCTAATTCAAAATGCTTCACTCTGTACATGGG